TGGGTGATATATACATGCCTAAAGGCATCAAACACTGTTGCTATTATTTCCTAGGGTCCTTCAGCTTCTCCAGTCAAAAGAACAAGAATACCTCTGGAGTATGACAAATGATTTCCTCAAGGAAGGAAAGGTTGAAGAAGGTTGGAGGGGTCTGTCTCAGTCAACACAAAAGTCAACCACCCTGAGGGGGACCCAAGACTGAGCCGCAAGAAAAACCTTCTTTCATGAACTTAATGAAGGAAAAGTCACATTCTATATGTTTGCTAACATCCTCAGGCAGAGGTGAAACTGTTTTAGAAGAAACACTTGAGGCAGAAAGACTACACGGGTTCAAAGTGGGAAAGGATTTCTCCCCATACATACCCTACTATATGATTTTCCACCAGAAAATAAATGAGATATGAGCAGCTTTCATGCTTCAAATTCAGTGTAAAGTAGAAAACAGAAATAGGATATAAATGTCCCTGATCAAATAAACTGAGGCTATCTTGTCTAATGATAGTAGGCAATCAAAGGGCCATTTCTATGACCCATGTTAGATTGTACATCTTTTCCACTGAAGGACAATCTTCTTGGTGACTCCTTATGGATTACTACCCAAAAGATTGCTATAATTTGGAAAGAAACTCCAGGACTACTTTATAACCTCAAAAATTAAAACGTAAAATAGACCGTCAACTTGATATTAATTCATTCATGCTTTTATTGATTCATATTCAACAAATATTTATTGAGTGCCTTTTTTGTGCCAAGTATTGTACTAGCTGCTTAAAATACATTACTAAATAAAAGAGACAAAGATCCTTGCCCTCATGGAGCTTGGATATTGTGATAGTTAATTTTATGTGTCAACTTGACTGGGTTAAGGGATGTGCAGACAGCTGGTAAAACATTATTTCTGGGTGTGTCTGTGAGGGTGTTTCTGGAAGAGATTAGGATTTGAATCAGTAGACTGAATAAAGAAGATCTACCCTCACCAGTGTGGATGGACATCATCCAATCCACTGGCCCGCCCCACCCACCTCCGGCCCTTCCCCCACTAAAAGAAAAAGGCAGAAGAAGGGCAAATTCTCTCTCTTTTTGAGCTAGGACTTCCATCTCCTGCCCTCGGACACTGGAGCTTTTGGTTCTTGGGCCTTCCAATTCCAGGCCTTACATCAGCAGCCCCAAGATTCTAAGGCCTTTGGACTCAGACTGAATGATACCACTGGCTTTCCTGGTTCTTCAGCTTGCAGAGGACAGATCCTGGGATTTCTCAGCCTCCATAACCATGTGAGCCAATTCCTGTAATAAATCTCCTCTTATATATATCTACATATCTCCTATTGGTTCTGTTTCTCTGAAGAACCCTGACAATACAGATATAATAACAAATGCACCATGTAACATGTTAGAAATGTTGGACAGCAATAAGCTATGGGGAAAAAATAGTAGAACAAAATAGGGAGAGAGGTAGTGAAGCAAGTGGCATGGGAACGGATAGTGGGTAAGCCTCAGTAAGAAGATGTGATTTGAGCATAGATTTAAGGAAGACAAGAAAGAGAACTATACAGCTATATCTAGGTGAAGAACTTTCCAGGCAGAAGGAATGGCCAGCACAAAGGCCCCCAAGGCAAGAGCATGCTTGGTGTGTTCAAGAAACAGCAAGAGGCCAGAGGAGTCCAAACAGAGGGAGGGAGAGGGACAGTAGTAGGAGACGAGGTCAAAAGGGTGATAAAGGATAGGTAGGGGCAGCCCATGGTCGAGTCTTGCAAGCCACTGCCCGCACTTTGGGGTCTACTCTTAGTGAAATACAGAGCCCAGCAAGGTTTAGAGCATGTTAGATCATTCTGGTGGCGATAGAGAAAACAGACTGGAGGAGGGCAAGGTGGAAGCAGAGAGAACACTAGCCAGATGGGAAGGAGGTGTTGGAGGCATTAGGAAACAAGGTGCAAACTGTCACACTGACCATTGGTAAGGAGATCAGGTGAAATCTCTACGGAAACAGATGCCTGAATGTCTTGGACTAACTGAAACTTTACCTTATCTGTCACATGAAGATAAGCTGATGGGTTGCTCTTGCTTCAGAAAGATTTCTTAATGTAGAAGACCACAAAATCTGAAGAAGACAGGGAATAGAACACTTGCCAACTACTGTCAACTCTGGACTAAAATTCATTCAAGAAAATAATTTTCATTCATTCCATTTTAAAGAGCAAGTCATAAATTTTTTTTGTAACCATCCCTCTAAATTTCTACCATGGATTACTTTTCCTGAAATGGGGGGCGGGACAGAGTATATATTTAGCTGAAAGGTATGAAGAGGTAATAAAAGGGGGGAAAGCACGATTGCCTACTCATCATAGCTGCAAAAAAAAGGATCTCTCTGGAAAGCTTCCCCAAGATAACTGAATTAACTTTGTAATAAATTATAAGGCTGTGCTACCATCACATAGTCAGAATATGTCCCTATTTGAAACAGACTTTTTCTCAAAGACATAAATATTGTGAGATATATACATGCCTATGTATATCTCACACACACATACACACACACATATCCTTTTATTCACCTAGGATAAGTTTTTAAGTTACTTCATTTGGGAAGAACAAAATATTTGGTCATCTTTGTGTAGCTGAAGCCAGGTCTAATGCAGTAGGCAATCTTAATTGTTCAGGCTCTTCCATAAAATAAAATATTGAGCAATAAAGTTTATTATTTATGTCCCGCTTAGAGAAGTAACAAAAACCCAACCTGAGCTGGTGTAAGCAAAAAGGGCGTCCTTACAGTTAGACAGGATCGTTTCATGGAAGCCAAGAGCAAGAATGAGATCAGGTCCCAAGCAGGTAGGTGAATTAGTCAGGGTATCAGCAGGGAAAGAGATGGCACACTGAGAAGAGTTCATCAGAAGAGAATTTAATGAGGAGACTACTTACAGAAACGTGGACAGGTTAAGAGAAGCAGTAAGATATGATGAGGCACCAAGAACAAGCAAGAATGGAAAACCAACACCATGCCTAAGCCTAAAGGGTCAAGTGGAGGGAATGTTGTCACCACAGTCCAATACAAGCCACAGCTGTGGAAGAGAACCTGCTTGACAGGAGCTGTGGCTGCTGAAAACTGAAGCCACTACAGGAATGCACTGGAGCAGAGGGAGCAGGAGAAATAAATACTCTGACTTTCCTTTCTTTCTTTTCTTATCCTTCTTCTTCCACGCTCTTAACCTCCTGCTGGTAGACCCACTGTCTAAATCTAACCAGAAGCCAGAGGGCAAACGAGCCCAGATCATGCAGTCCATAGAGGTCAGCCTCTACAAGGCAAACCAGAGACCAGAGAAGAACAGTTCTCAGGGGGTAAAAGAGTGAAGAACCACCACAGTACAGAAACAAAGACCAATCTACAAGAGTACAAAATCACTAATTCAGTGCACAGTCCCTTTTCCAGAAATTCTTTCTCTGTAATATAGAGGGTTTGCATATATACGGGAAACTAGGAAGTTAAAAAAGGGTGGTTACTAAAAGATAAGTATAAAAAGAAAAACTTTAATAGAAGACAGTTCTTTTTCTATAGTCTTAGTAATAGCTTGTAAGTTGCTTTATTATCAATGATTTCATTTTAAAACTCAAAGGAGACATGATCTGACCATTCTTAGCTTTTCTAATTCAACTCTGAGGAAATATTTAAAATAATATTGAGGCATAAGATATGCTATGATAATAACTTAAAATTTTTTAAAGATCCTAATACTATTAAACAATGCTACATTTCAATAATAAAACAGTACCATTGCAAAAGAAAATTTTATTATCCAAAGCTTCATGAACTATATTTGAAAACTGGATATCTATTTTTTATGTCACTTTTATACTCTTTGATTTTTCCACAGTAAGAAACTATGAAACACTAATGCTTTTGGAAAAAGTTTAAATAAACACAAAGAAAGTTACACATTAATTTCATAAAATTACTGCTAAAAGAATATCAAGAATAAAAGCAGACCCCGAAAAAGATAATAGCAAAGCACACTAAATTTCTGATAGGTCACCAATAGAGATCTGTAGATGCACAAGGTAAAAATGGGCCTTGATCATATATTTCTGCTTTTTTGAGGACAAGGAACTTTCCTGAACTTCAGAGTTTCCTAAAGAATTCATTTGCCAGATACCTGTTTGATTCTTTTAAAAAACAGTCGTGGAGCTCAATTTTAAAGTGTAAGGAATTCAATTTTAGGTGCTTTTTGAGGAACATAACTGAGTCAGAAAACAACTAAATAATTCAAGGCCAATAGTATGGCCAAAGAAAACAGAGGTAAAAAAGTAAAAGTACTTCAGTCAGAACTACTATAGCACATACAATGGCATAAACAGAAAAAATTAATGAAGTAGAAACCATGAACAGCATTCATGAGCCGACTAATGCTTTCACTAGTTCCCAAAATATGCCTACCTAATACACAATTTTTATAGTCCTTTATCATATTAAGTGTGCTAATACTAAAGTCAAAACACTTTACCTAAGCAAAGCACTCTTATCTGGAGAATATATACGTATGGTAGTAGGAAATGAAGGCGAAAACCAGCTTAGAAAGCAATAGTGTAGAATATGCACTATGTTACAGCCTGTGTCCTACATAACCTTTTGAATGTATGACCTTTAAGTTGCTGAAGGTTGCCTCAGAATTTGGCTCAGTTTGATCGAAACATCTGTTCCCCTTGCAGGTAGACTGTAAGGACTTTTTTCTCAGTTGGATTCAGAACACAGCAAGTGAGCCCTTGTCTGTCCAATCATACAGACCCCAACACTTGTAAATCAAGTTCTGGGAGGACAACAGCAGGTCCACATTCCATCACCCTTTCCCAGCCAGCTAGGCCAACTGACTGCTGTGAGAACCGCTCTGATCATGTCATCAAATCAAAACAAGTTGAGATGAGGGACTGTAAGAGGCATCTGCAGAATTCCCAAAACGTAGGGACTTTGGAACATTGACAGATGCATCTGTCATTTCATACCTTCAACTAACCTGATGTCCACTGGCCCGACACAGGAAAGCTGTCCAAGATCGATTCCAATTCTTTCACATTATTTTCACATGTCTCTACTAGAAAAGCCTGGTGCTTCTTAGCCTGTTAATTAAGAAAAAAATTACACATAATAAGGTCACACATTATAAGAGCTGCAGAGTTTTTGGGTGAACATATACAGCACAATTAAGTACAATCTGATAATTACTCCATTTAAATGTATTATTAATAAACCTTTTTCTATCTTAATCATATCTTTTACTTGGCTTACTGTAACAGTGTACAAGGTCTCAATAACAATTTACTGAGGCCTTAATGCCTGGCATTATTCTAAATGTTTTATATGTAGTAACTCTTTTTATCCTCACAAACAAACCTATGAGGAAAGGGCTATTATTATCCCAATTTTACAGATAAGAAAACTGAGACACTGAGGAATTAAGGAACATGGTTGCCATCACGTGGCCAATTGCCAGAGAGTGGTCAAAAGTGAATGCAGGGGCCCGTCCCTTAGCCGAGTGGTTAAGTTCTCTCGCTCCTCTTCAGAGGCCCAGTGTTTCACCAGTTCAGATCCTGGGCGCAGACATGGCACCTCTCATCAGGCCATGCTGATGGGGGGGTCCCACATAGCACAACCAGAGGCACTCACAACTAGAATATACAACTATGTACTGGGGGTCTTTGGGGAGCATAAGAAAAGAAAAAAAAAAAGATTGGCAATAGATGTTAGCGCAGGTGCCAATCTAAAAAAAAAAAGTGAATGCAGTAAGACCAATTAGAGACCTGCAGCAGTCTACTCGAGAGGCGATGGCCGCTTAGGCCAAGGTCTCAGCAGTGAAAAAGGGTGAGGGGGTGTGTGAACTGGAATGATACTTGGAAGGTGCAAAGGCCAGACCTTGGCAACATTACACTGGATCAACTACATTGATGGGATTAGACTGGATTGGATTGAACTAGATTGGACTGGATAAGGTTGGGAAAGTGCTCAGATAAAAGGAGGAGTCAAGACTGATCCCAAGGTTTCAGGCTAAGAGAACTGAGTAGATTTCAGTTGTTGAGTGAGAACAATGGAGGTAGAGAAGGTCTTATTTTGGCTGTTTTTATTTGTTTATTTACTTGCTTGTTTGGGGTGGGGAGTATGAATCTGAATTCTGTTTCAATCATATTCCATTGGAGACACCTTTAAGACACTCCCAGTACCAGCACAAAGATTGGCAAATAACAGGCCCTAAATAAATATATTTGAACTAACAAAGAACAAACAAAGTAGAAAAATATGGAAGGCAGCTGGACATAATGGTGTAAAGCTCAGAAGAGAGGTCAGGCATAGGTTTGGGAATCATTTACAGGTATGACCTGAAGCTTTGCCTTGAGAGTGTTTGATAGGAAGAGAAAAGAGCCTAGGACAAAGCCTTAAGGAACTCCAGAATTTAATAGAAAAGAAAAAGCCAGCAAAGACTGGGAAAAAAAGGAAGAAAAAACAGAAGAGTATAGCATCACAAAAACCAAGATAAGAGAACATTTCAAGGACAGAGTTGTATGTCACAGAATATTCAAGCAAAATGGAGACTAAAAAGTGCTCACTGGGCATGGAAGTTATTGGTCAGCTTGATGAAATCTGTCATAACCCAGACTGCAACAGGCTAAAGAGGATTAAGCCTGAATTTTTTGGGTCTTAATTGATTGAGAGATAAGTAAATAGAATCAGGAAGTTTAGATAACCCTTTCTTGGTAAGAAGGGAAACAGAGATAAAGGCAGTAGCTGCAAAGGAGAGTGGGTCGGAGAAGAGGTTTTTTTTAGTACGTGAGAAACTTACGCACATTTAAAAGCTGACAAGCCTGAGGCACTGGTGAAGGAGATACAGAAGAAATGGGAGAACAGCTATCACATGACAAAAGTACATCCATAAAATATGCAAACTAATAATTATTTCTGTAGACGTCAGTTCAATTATCACTTCTTCGGAAAAGCTATCCTTTACCTCCCTGACTATATCAATTCCCTCTATTAGATTCTTCTCAGCACTCATCACAATTATGATTCTATGGTATTCGAGTAGGTCTTTTGTTAATGTCTATCTCATAGAATATAAGCTCCATGAGGGGAGTAAATGTAATCTTTTTTTTTTTTTTTTTTGGCCTCACCAGTGTATCTCCAGCACCTCGACAATACCAAGTATCTAAAATAAGAGTTAAATAGTTCAATAAATTATAGTACGTTATCAACAGAAGTCTGTTAAGTCAATTACAATTCATCAACACAGACTTAAAATAGAAAGCGGAGGCTCTTCTTCATGTATTAATATAGAAAGACCTCTAAGCTCTGTTGTTAAGCTAAAAACAAAAGAGGGGGTGAAAAAAGTGTGTTCTATAAAATAAATGATAGAAGGTCTAACTGAAAGCCCTCTGAGTTAGGATGCAAAACAGAAGCAAATCCAGACTTCAAGTTTCCTGCATTAGCAAACCATCACTAAGACTTTTTTTAATGTTGTAATATTAAACAAGTTAATAACAGAGGGAAAAAAAGAAGGGGAACAGTCTGTTTAATATGGTACCATTTGTGTAAAATGTGTGTGTGTGTATATTTGTAAATGTAGTGAGAATCTCTGCACAGAATCACAAGAAAGTAGTAACTATGGTTGCCCCTGGGAAGAGAAGAATCTGGTGGCTAAGGCCCGGGAAGAGAGAGGTTTCATTTTTCACTGCACAACCTTTTGCATCTTTGAAATCTTGGATCATGTGTACCCATTATCTATTCAAAAATTTCATTAGATTTTTGAAAAACAGTAAATAAACAAGCTAACAAACAAAGAAAACACTTTTCTACAGAAGATATACATGTACTTTACTAGAGTATTAGGAAAAGCTATGAGGACCAATTGAGTTAAGAGGCCCAGATGGAGATTTCTGGATATTATCAAAACACAGACTCACAGACCAATGTAAGGTTCATATTCATAGAAAAAGAAACACCACGTTTCAGTTGTTAAAAAATAAAAAAGTAAAAGCATCAAAATGGAATATATTACCAAGGGCCACCAAAGTTTATCTTAAAAAGTATTTATAAAGCACCATTTATATATATATAAAGATAATACATTATAAAGTTACTTTTATTTATTAAATATTTAAATATTCTATTAGAGGTCAGCCCGGTGGCACAGCAGTTAAATGCACACGTTCCGCTTCGGAGGCCCAGGGTTCGCTGGTTCAGATCCCGGGTGCGAACATGGCACTGCTTGGCACGCCATGCTGTGGTAGGTGTCCCACATATAAAGTGGAGGAAGATGGGCACAGATGATAGCTCAGGGCCAGTCTTCCTCAGCAAAAAGAGGAGGATTGGCAGCAGTTAGCTCAGGGCTAATCTTCCTCAAAAAGATAAATAAATAAATAAATAAATAAAAAATATTCTATTAAATTCTCTGAGTTTACCTACATTATGACAGTTAAAAAAATAAAGACAAATAGAAGGTAACTCAATCCTCACAGGTAAGTTTTATTTACAGTTGGCTTTATAATTAAAGAAACTTTAACATATATAATTTTTTAAATTTAAAAAATTTTTAAATTTTATTTATATAAAAAATATATACTATGTATAATTTTTCTTCAAATAGGATCATGTATAAACACTACTATATAACTTACTTTTCCATTCTTAGTATGTCTCTGACATCTTTCCATATCACAAATTTTTTTTAGTTGCATAATACTCCATTGTTTAGATGTATTGTTAATTTAACCAGTCCCCTACTGCTAAGATTTATAGGTTACTTACAATTTTATGCTACTAGTGGTAATACTACAATACACATCCTTGTATGTGTACTTGCATATCTTTGCATGCACATTCAAGTATATCTACTCAACAAACTAGAAATAGATTTGATGGATGAAAGGGTAAGTACAACTGCTTTTAGACAGCTGTCACCAAATTGCTCTCCAAAGAGTCCCATCAGAGCATACTGTCACCCAGGGGAGTCCCTAAAACATTTTCCACGTCTAAGTTGTGCCTGCTTTTGGGAACCAAGGCAGAACATTGCCAGATGGCCAAACAGCAGAAGCAGTCCAAACCAGAAAGGTCCAAGATGGCAATGGGGTGCCATGTGCAAAAGGAAATGTGTGCAAAATGGAAGGGAAGATCTGCGCAAGCCCCAAATGGCCTCGCCCCGAGTGATGACTCAGAGACCCCCTTCCCCTTCACATCCCATAAGAATTCTTCTCACCTTCCCTTTGCGGAGAAGGTGTTTTAGAGCATGAGCTCTGCCTCCTCCACTCATTGATCAATGAATAAAGTTTCTGCTCTGCTATTTGGAACCTGGTCTTGTTCTATTTGCGTGATCAGCTCCTGGCAAAAGGACCCACTTGCAGGACACTGGTCCCTTAGGGCTCAGTAACAAAATACCATAAACAGTATAAATGCCTATTTCCCAACAGCTTTCCAATGGTAAGCATTTAATGTGCATTTCCTTTTTTTTTTTTGAGGAGGAGGATTAGCCCTGAGCTAACTGCTGCCAATCCTCCTCTTTTTGCTGAGGAAGACTGGCCCTGAGCTAACATCTATGCCCATCTTCCTCCACTTTATATGTGGGATGCCTACCACAGAATGGTGTGCCAAGCGGTACCATGTCTGCATCCTGGATCCAAACTGGCAAACCCTGGGCCACTGAAGTGGAACATGCGCACTTAACCGCTGCGCCACCAGGCCGGCCCTAATGTGCATTTCTTAATTTTAAATAAGATTAAGCATCTTTTCATATATTTACTAGGTATCTGTACTTCCTTTTCTATGACTGTCTTTTCATATCATTTGCCCATTTTTATATTACATTGTCATATTTTCCTTAGTGATATATAACAGTCCTTGGGAAATTACGGAAACATTCCCTTTGTCATACATGTTGTAAATCATTATTGCAAATTTGTCATTTGTCTTCCAACTATATTCCTAAACATAAAGCTGTAGTTTTTTAAAGATTGTATTTTTTTCTTTTTTCTCCCCAAAGCGCCCCCAGTACATAGTTGTATATTTTAGTTGTGGGTCCTTCTAGTTGTGGCATGTGGGACACCACCTCAGCATGGCCCGATGAGCGGTGCCATGT